TTATCTTTATATATAAATATATAACATGATATACAGAGTTTCAGTTGCGGATATCTCAAATGAGCTTATTTGACAAAATTTGTTACTTGTAATTTTCAAATAATGCTGGAAAACAGTCCTCGTTAGTTTCCAAACCCGTAGTTATCAGACGGTGTGTGTGGGGTAACATTCTTTTGGAAGAGACTTGGCAGAAAGGTCAAAGGAAGCAAGTAGGAAAAGCGAACCCCATTGTCAATTGATGTTTAGGAAAAAGAAAAGAGGAAAAACCACTCGTGGATTCTCATTTGATCAAATACCCCATTATTGGTTCGTTTTGACCACTCCATCTCTCCATGCATGAATTTATGAAAGTAGTTCATGATCTGACTGACGAAAATATATCCAAAATCATTGTTATGCTTTTTCTTTTCCCATTTATGCCAAATCGTTTTCTCTCCCATTCATTCGCATCACCAAGCTACCCTAGCTAACCCTAGCTAACCCTAGCTAGCTAGCCGAACAGATGAAATGGGCATTAAGTTTAAGTGGAATATTTTGTGCTTGATGCATAGCGTGATAATTAGACCAACAGTTGTGATCACAAACTTTTGTGATGCGCTTGCCTTCCAATATTTATTGGCATTGAGTTGTCATCGAACCCTAAAATCAACAGGTAGTCAGTGGAACAACTCAGAACATTATGTGGAATAATACTCTCAAAAAGACAGATGTACAATTTTAATTAGTTATGGTGCGCGTGACGATGATGTTACCCCACACAAAGGATGGGGTGGCCTTATCCAGAGTTTGAAGAAACGTTTTTCTGTGTTTGGTGTTGAAGACATTTTTATGTTGTACCTTGTTGATGCTTGCTTATCGAGGCGCACTTGTGGCTGAAATCATTGAGAGGAAAATGGTATCATTTGGGAACAATTATAGAGGGGAGAATTTGGCAAAAAGTGAGAGAGTCCGGGAAAAAATGCTCACAATAATTATAAATGATACAGAAATCGCATAATTGAGACATGCAATTTGCTGTGCTTAGATTAGATACGTGTAATTCAGAAGATGCTCTTCTACATCTTCACACACGGTCAATGCATGCATGCAATTAAGGATTGTAATTAGGATCATGTCATCTTGTTTGAACTTCATGTTTTGGAGATTAATAGCTGGTTTTAATTTGATGATGGGATTAGGCAGTTGCTAATTTTACCCACCTTCCTTTTCGACTTCATGTTCCTTTGCCTCCTCTCTGGCCCCCGCTCCTCTATCTCTTTGTTAGGCTTTCTTGCATGGACCACAAAAACACTAAGCATTTCGTGCATGGACCACTCAACCACTCACCTCTACTTCACTGTGCTCCCTAACCCCACCCCTCCCCAAGAAAAAAAGACCCAAAAAAGATGTCAAAATGTTTGAAAGATATATGTGGGAATCCAATCTCTATTCTTGACCTAGGCATATTTAACTGCCAATGTTCCACCCAATCTTTATAGCATTTGTACTTGGTATTGTTAAGAAAGGAGCTGGATCTTTTTGTTAGAAATCCCCTCTATCAAGGTCATTGAACAAAACCCAATTGCTAATTCTCCTTACTATTGAGTTTTTGGGTGATAGGGAAATCGAATACAAAACTTCATATCGAGGGGTGAATGCTTTTTGGTTTGAGTCGCTAGATACTTTTAAGTAAAGTTGAATGATTGAGATTTGAATTTTCAAGTGAATGAGAGAGAGAAAGAGGAAGGAGATGATCTACCTTTAAGAAAGTTGCTAATTACAATTATAGGAATTAGCCTAGTTAATTAATTTCTCACGTAAAAGAGTGCAAAGCAGATAATATTTTGTATTTGCAAGGGACAGCTTCCGCTGGGGAAGCGTGAAAACTTACCATCTTAGGCTGTAAGAAGAGGGAACAAAAGACCCAGAATGGTAAAAAGGAAAAAGGACAGCAACTACATGTACATACCCCACCAGCTCAATTCAGCTAATGTAGGAGATATGATAGATGATGGGGAAAAATAAAAGAAAAGAAAGCAACCAAAGGACATATAATAGAGCAGAGCAAAGCAAAGCATGGTTTTGATTTGATCATGTTTTGTTTATTGCCCTTTCTTCTGTGATGTCACACCAGCCATCAGGTGCCTCACAACCCTTTTTAAATAAATAAATATTTTTATTTATTTATGTACAGGTGATAGAAGGGAGGAGGTTCTCTCATACACATAGTCAAGATGTTATGATGATTCGAATCTAAGATCTCAGCTGGCAAGAGTGTTTTTGTCAAATTCTTCTCACCAGTGAGATTGAAATTTGTGGACTTTAGAGAAGTTTATTTTATGCTATTTGTCAATGCATGCCAGAGAATAAATCTAGGCCTTGTGGGATGAAGCTTGACCTACTTTTGGAAATTTTCTAGTTTTTGACAAAATTTGTTCAGAAGGGCTGCTAGGGGAATATTGGCACAGTGATCATAAGTCTGGAATATTTTTCAACGTACTATCGATGAAGAAATTTGGGTATGTATCTATGGAAATTGAAAACATTTTGACATTTTGATCATTGTTTGGTGAAAGTTGTCAAATAAAATTGCTGACCACCAAAAATGCGACGCTGAAAATTAATATGTATTATTTCCAATGTGTTGGCATATCATCTTCAAAGTTATCTTTCCTTGAAAGGCAACGCAAAACTGTCATCAAGCATAACATGATGTTGGGTGCTGACATCTTCCTCCTTCCTCAATCTTCAGGTTCATTCATCCTTGTACATTCTGGGCTAGTTAGGCCCATGCAAGATCTGGCTGTCACAAGAGACCCAAGCGAGAACAAAACGAGTTATAAACATAGTTGTTTACTTCGAACTTTCGCGTTGATAAGAAATTGTATTGTATTGTATTGTTGTCTTAGAAAAGGTTAACATAAATTTAAGGAGGCGGGACATATACAACAACAAAACAAGTTCACATGTTACACACATGTCATTCTCTATCAAAAACCACAATTTAAAAAACACGTTCGTACAAATTTACAAATTTATCAATCACTTTCGTTTGTGTACCATTCTAAGTGAATCACATTTCCCACAATTTTTTCTGGGTCGCATGATATCGCATTGTTTCGTTTTCTCTATCTATACGCTGTTTCCGTACACCCAACTGCAAACCAGAGGAGGACCCTATTTCAGGGTTCCCAACTAGCGCCATAGGCCCACCAAACAAGCCCATGTTTACTGCTCCTTTCACCTAACCTAAGGAACAATCCAAATACCACCTATCCCTATAGAACTTCTAATTTTAATTTTGAATTTTTTTAGGGTCGTAGCTGTTTAGCACTATTAATCAAAAGAGATTTATGCTAAGGACAAGTACTCATTTGTATCCGAATCGTATTATAAAATTCACTTACATCAACGGCTGACAGTCACTCACGCACGCATAAACGACTGTTCGTAACACATCTTATAAAACAAGTTTCACTTTTACATGTACCCAAAAAATAAAAAATAAAAATCTTGCACATGTGTGTAGGCGACCGACTGTAACATTTCTTATAAAAAAATGTTTCATTCTGAAAAACTTGTCTTACACATGCATGTAAGTTATAATCAATCAAATCGTTTGTCCTGGTTGACATAAGAAAAATGACTATTATTTTCCCCTTCTTCCATGTATGTAACTCTGTTTTGGACAGAGAATGACTCGTGTAGCGAACCAATTGGGCAATTATAACATGGTGATGGGATACAAATGTGACCGCATAATGGAAGGAGGTCCGTCTCCCAACTCTTAAACACAGTTGCACTTGCAGGGTCAGGCTTTTATCCCATCTTTCATTTTCATTACATCTTCATCACACAGAGTGGTGTTCTAAATTGTAAGTATCATGACAAGTTGAATTGATTGCTAGAGCTATCTTATGTTGCCTTATGCATGCATTAGCGATTTCTAATCACTGATGAATGTAAAGCGTACAATTCATTTATTATTGTATTTCACCACCGTCACGAGCTGCTGACACTAGAAAATGAAATTAATCTTACTGTTTACTGTTTAGCAGCACATGAATTGTCTTTTACTTTTGTATGTTGTTTTGTCTTTGAAAATTAAATTGGGAGATAGTGATTTGAGGTATGGTCGGAGGAACCTCTAAATTTGGTGGCTTGAGCAGTTGAGCTAATACTGGTGGAGGCCACTTTTACAGTATATGACGGTCCCTTAACAATACCATTGCCAAGGGGACCGTGGAAACGAATCTTATTCTTGTCAATTTACATAAACAACAAGAAACAATAACATCAATCAACTCACCAAAATTTCCAAATTTGTTCACAACTTTTTCCCAAAACCTCCAAGAGTAGCAAAACTCATGGGTCCGGTTGAAGTACAATAATTTTAGGCTCATTAAGATGTTGTACAACTTTAAATAAGAATACAGGACTAAAATTATTTCAGAAAAAAAAAATAGAAATAACAACTGATAAAATCATCAGTAACATGTTCTGAAGGGTTTTTTTTTATAAAAAAAATTACTCCAGTCGACTGGGGAGATGTTTCAAATTGAGTGAAGACATAAGAAGCTGGCTGTGTTGAATGTGCAATTAGAGGAAGCATTTTGATCTCCAAAATCCGAAACAGAAAATGTCAGCTGAGTAAAATATCTGAAATTATGGAAACCATGGCTGTACTTGAGTTGAGATATACAATTATATACCTTAAACTTCAACAGTGTGAATGATACTAAAAGTATCCTGTCATACCAGCATGTTCCATGAAGAAGAAGGCCATCTGCAAGAGAGATCACTAATTTTAGACTGACAGATATTCAACAAAACATGTCCATGAATGAGCTCAGAAGTCAATTGTGAAGCATTATCAAGGAAAGAATGAAACCTTCAAATAAATCTCCAAATCATTTCTGTGAGATTCTGCATCTGTCGCCCCGCAATCTGGAATATGCAAACCATGGCTAAAGGATCAGATTGCTTAAATTGCCCTGTACTTCCATAACAGGTGCAGCAACAGGGTCAGAGTACCAAACTGCCCCCCTCACTGTGAAATGGTTGTCCCTCAGCTACTTTCCAAATGCTCTCCAGCTAAAGCAGGCAAGTGCATGGAGCCTGTCGCCGTCTTGAGCTTGTCGCTTAATTCATCCAACACCGAGTAGATCTCTTCTGATTTAGGGTGTGTCTTGTCAGCAACAAGAAACTCATGAACTACATCACCAATCTCAATCATGCTACATCCAGGTAGCTTGCAAAAACTTGCGTCAACCATTGCCTGTCTAACTGCTTTAACCCTGTCAAACCTTCCAGCCGCAGCATACATATTTGCTAACAACACGTAGGAACCCCCATCCATTGCTTCTAAGTTGAAAATATGGTCAGCTGCCCACTCTCCCACCTCAATATCACCATGCATGCTACAAGCATTAAACAGTGATCCCCATACAATTACATTTGGTTCAACATCCATCCTCTCAATGAGCTCCCTTGCTTCTTTTAGAAGTCCAGCACGGCCAAGAAGATCAACCATGCAACCATAATGCTCAACTTTTGGGGTGATCTTATCATTTTTCACCATCGAATCAAAGTATTGCTTGCCTTTTTCAACCAAACCAGCATGAGCACAAGCATGTAAAATCGAAAGAAAGGTTATGCTATCCGGAATAGCACCTGATTTTCTCATCTCGTCAAAGAGCTCTATTGCAGATCCAGCCTGCCCATTTGACGCATATCCAGAGAGAATAGTGTTCCATGTTGCAACAGTTTTTTTATCCATTTGATCAAACACTTCTCTAGCTGCTTCAATAGAACCGCATTTTGCATACAGGTCTACCAAAGAGGTCCCGATGAACTCGTCCCAAAGTCCATTCTTCTCTGCAAATTTCCGAACCCAATTCCCTAGATTAATAGCTCCGGTTTGGGCACAAGCAGACAACAAGCCTGAAATTGTGTACCTATCAGGCTTAACATCCCAAAAACACATATCCTTGAAAAGATCAATTGCTTCCCTCGAAAACCCATTAAGGGAATAACCACTTATCAATGAGTTCCACACCACAGAATTCTTCTCAGGCATTCCCTCAAACACTCTCTTTGCATAATCTAAACAGCCACATTTTGCATACAAATCAACCATTGCAGCTCCCAGTTTCACACTTAACCCAAAAGTTACCTCTTTTCTCACATACCCATGAATTTCTCTCCCAAGTTTCAAGTTTTTCGATACCGTGCAAGCCGATATCAATGCCAAAACCGCGCCTTCATTGGGCGCAACCTCTCCCACTTTCACCATCTCCCTAAAAACCTCACAAGCTTCCAAAGCCATCCCATTTCGCGCATAACCCATTATCATGGCATTCCAGAAAACAACATCCTTCGCCTTAAATTCATCAAAAACCTGCCTTGCACTCTCAATTTTTCCGCAAACCCCATAAAAGTTTAGCAAAGAACAACACAAAAACCTATCCGAATCAAATCCAATTCTAACAACCACACCATGAACCTCCCTCCCTTTCTCCACAGCCAATTCACTAGCACAAGCTTTGAACACAAAAGGGTACGTGAACTGGTCGCCCACCGCATTTTCGCGTACCCTCATATTGTTATACATTGATAAAGCAACAAATGGGGTTTCTGATTGAGAATATGCTTTGATCATGGAATTGTAAATGAAGATGCTTGGCTCTTGGGTTTGAACCAAGATGCGTGTGGCGTAGTTCAGAGACTGAGGGAACAGGAAGGAATTGGCGATTTGGGTGAGGATGAAATGGTTGTAGGAAAGGCCTGAGATTATAGATTTGGCATGCATTTGCTTCAGTTGATTAAGGCTTGTGCAGGTTTCTATGAGAGCTAGGAGTGACTTGGGTCCCTGAGTTTTCATTGTAGCATCAGTGGATCACTGGGAATTTTACCAGTTGTTCAGTTTATGTCACCGTATGGCGGCGGGGAAATGAGGAGGGAAACAAGAGTCGAGCAAGGTTTTTGGGTTAACGGCATTTCAAAATAGAGACTAGTTTTGATAACTCATAAAATCACAATGAAAATTTAGTTTTGAGCCAAGGTTTTTATACCTCCATATATTCTGCATACTCTTAATTACTTGAATTACGAATCGTTTTCAAATTCCTTACATAATTATCTAGATAACAAAATTTCGTGTTTGATACCCAATATATATTAGTGTATTTTAATAATGCTTTTAAACATTTGATATTTCAGGTAACATCAACACATAATACTTCAAGAAAAGTGGCATAACTCTTAGGAAATAATCATTGATCTGGTTTCGAAATTAAACAAGACGTAAGATAAGACCACAAATGTTTGTTAAAAGATAAAGAGAACACAAATGATCAGTCCGACGACAATTATCACCTGCTAAAATGAACACTCATCAATCTACAATCATGTTTTTTAGTGTAAAAAAAGAGTAAAGCCAAATCGATAGGTTGAACAGGGTGAAAACTTATTTCACAACATTGTACAAAATTACAATATGAATATAAATGTACAATAGAAAACACCCTAATAATAAGAATTTGTTTTCAGAAGTCGATAAAATGGAGGGAGGGTTTCCCGGCGAATCTCAAGAACACATAACTCTTAACTCCTGCCGCTGCCAATAAAAAGCTGGCATTGTTTACTGACACTGAAAAGCATTGTTCCTCTACCCTAACATAGTACATTTTGGGAGCTAATCCAGCTGATGTTTTTAGTGGGAAGAACCATCATGCAGTCCCAACAACACGAACATGATATGGGGGGCCACGGCAGAAAATCGGCTCATCAGAGGATTTAGTTCTTGCGCGAGCCCTGAGAATATCATTAGCATCATCGATCACCGAGGCCGCTACCAGCGTGTACTCTCCTGGGACAAGAAAATACAGAGAGAAAGAATGCTTGATTTCTTGAAGTGAAGGAACCTCCACGGTGATCCCGCTCAAAACACCTACATACAAATCAATCGTAAAACACATCAGTGACACATTGTATTCCATCTATGAAAATTGCAACGGAAGTTCTAATAACACTGATTTCCAAACAAACAGTTTCAGAAATAAACAAAAAATAGGCAGGATTAAAGAGGTGATTGAAGAAAGGCATCATCATAGAACATTACCCGAACACAAGACAGTTGCCTTTGTACCCTCTACGCAATTCTCTCCAGCAACATCTCTGCATGTGATGCCAAGACTCATCTTGATCTTCTCCTTTGTGTTATTACGAACCACAACTTCCATCGGAGTCATTTCATGCGCCAGCACAGAACCCTTAGCTGCAGCAGAGTGAACTTGAACATTGGGAGAATTGTGCGAACTAGAATTTTCAGGTTCAAGGGCATATCTAGAAAGCCTGAAGCAAAATGTCAATGGGTCTGGCAGCAGTACATCCATTACTGATGTCTGAAGGGCTGCCTGTATAGCATCCTTGATATTTAACTCCCCAGAGCTGTTCCGCCCTGATTGCCACCTAACCTTTATTTTAGATATGAGGTTCTTGATAGAAGCATTAAGTTCCGCTTTAGTATTCCTTTCTGAAAAGCTTGAATTTCTGCCACTATTAGCCCCATCTGCCTGATTATCCTTCACAAAGAAAGAATCATCAAGAACTGGTAATTTAAAATGCTCCAGTGGTATCAGTACCCTTGCGGAGCAATCTCGATCAATTCTTGTTTTAGGGTAACCATACTCAGCAGCATCTCGATCTCCAGAAACTCTATGATCATGACTAGAGTTCTCCAGCTGGACTGAAACAGTAATTTCAAAGACAACATCAGTGGGATTAGACAGCTCAAGTTCAAGAAAGCGTAGTCCCCAACTTCCTCTGAAAGGATCAATCTTCACCAATCCGTCCATCTTAGTTGGAGAACTAAGAGCTTCAGTAGGGCTATCTTCTATATGAACTGGTTTTGGAAGGTTTTCACCCACTTGCGCAGGAATCTCCATTGAGAGCAGACGAGCCTTTACAAAAGACAAACCCTGCAAAACACAAATCTGCAAAGGAACAACCAGGCGCCTGCCAGGGGGAACAGCAGATTTATTTGTGGCAGGATCTCCAATATTTGTCAGAGGCCCTGAGAAGTAAAATGTAAAGCATTATTGTCAGAAAGAGAAGTTAATGGTACTCATACTCACTACTCAGGAACAAGGTGCCAGAGAGATACAGAGAGCTGTAACTCATCACTATGAAAAACTCCAACAATTAACTTTAGCAATTACTAGGAACGCATCAATAAAAAAAAAAAAAAAAAGGTTTAGCATTCAGTACCAAATGATGTGAGAGTATATGTGGTGTGGGTAACCTAACCTCCCTATATCAAAGCTAATAAAGCCAAACTCTAGATTGTGTGCGAGAGAGAGAGAGAGAGAGAGAGAGAGAGAGATACTATATAGATTTATCAATACCTGCATAATGGATCAACAATGTGGGGTTACTTCCATCCTTAGAATGCCTCACAGTGCCTCCAGAGCCACTCCTGCCTGCGGTATCTGCATCTGCTAAGACATGCCGCCAAGCTCTTAAGGTCACAGGTAAAGTCACTTCCGCACCAGGCCTCAACGGGAGGGCTGAGTTTAAGGTTTCAGATGCAAACGAGATAACAGAATCTTGGTTTTTTCCTGAGAGTGATACATGTGCTTGCTCAACTGGAACAGTACCTGCATTAGCCAGACTTATCCATAAATCATGAATTTCACCTTCATGTAGAATGATTGCACCGTCACCCCCGACAACACGTGAAACCAGCAATGGTAATGGTGGTACCACAGAAATGTTTGGAACAGATATATTTTTCAACCTCGCAGACCCACAGCATCTGAATGGGTCAGAAAGCACAAGTCCTTGTGTAGCTCCAAGGAGCAGATTGTCAACATCCTTAAACAGGTGTTCAGTAATAACACCAAAGCAGTGTACAGTGCACCCAGGAATTGTTACTGTCCCCACCGAAGTCGGGATCCCAGATAAAGTGACCACCTTTGATGAATTGGGTGGAAGGTTTACAGTAACTGGAAAAGCATCAAAATTTCCTGAAGGCACTGAGAGATATATACTATCAACCCTCAAATCAAAGCCGCATGGGTTTGCCAGTTCGACCAAAATCTGAACTGGTTCTCCAACAATCCAAATCAGCTCCTGTTTGGTGTTAGTATTTGCATCTCCCTTGCTGAATGGCGTATAAATAAAAGGCCCAGTATTAGCAGCTCCTGCCCACCAGTCTTCTCTTGCTGGATTGCGCTTTACAATGTCCATTTGCGAAGGATGCATAGGAAAAGAATACAATCTAGAAGCAAGTATGATTGAATTAGAAAAATCATAGAAAAATTTGACGAGAATTAAATGAAGAACATAATGGTGATTTGCCTGTATCCTTGACATCAATATTCAGTTCAGGATCACCTTAGATATGGGAGAATTTTAAAAACAAAGGAATAGATTGTTACTCATCAGCAATAAGAATAGAAGACTTCTTAGCTCTACCACAGGATCTAAGCACATTATAGTTCCACAAAGAGTAATAGGTAAATAAAACATTGGAAAAAAAAAAAATAAAAACAAAGAGGCTCTAAAGCAAGTAGCCTCAACTTGACAGAAACAAAAAGTAAATAAGAAAAAACCTAGCATCCATAAAAAAATCATTACATTGGGCAGAGCTAGCAGGTATTCACTTCTCATTGCTCTGCAGTCTAAGACTAGAAGGAAAAAATAAGGAACCTTTCAAATGAGTTTACTTCAGATTCGTCTGTAATTCACGTATCAGAAAGATCTGTTTCATTGCTGCTCTGCTAGATTAAGCATATTAATTGCCTTTGAATGGATAAATAATATATATAATAATTATGGTAAACATATAATTATTTGTTCAACTCCTAGGTATCATGGTCTCTGTGCAACTATATACTTGTCTTGCAATAAAGACGATGGGAAAAAATTACCTATAGCACAGCAAATAGTATTGTTGTTAGGCTTCATAAGAAATAAAATGTTCATGTACTAACAGGAAAAATGCATAGGTACTGGTGAAGACCTAATGAAAGGTAAAGCAGGGTCAGCACAGCGAGTTCCCGAGGGCAACCTATCTGCTGAATTTGAAAGTGCACTAGCAAGGCCATTTTGCCCAGCTGGTGTAATTAAAGGATAATATGATCTTAGTAGTCTTGCAGCTGCCCCCCAGGCAGCAAGAGGATCTCCTGCACGGACGGCAGATAGAAGAATTTCTCTTAATACAACCATCTGTAGTGTGCTCCACTGAGACTCAAATAGAGAGACCACTGACTGGTGGAGCATTTTCCCACCCTCAGCAAAACTTGATCCAACTTCCTTCTGTGCGGAAATAAAACCAGAATGAGTAGCTGAAAACTTACTAAGGCTCACAAACAATCAAGGCCAGACAACATATAAGAAGGTTTACACAAGAAATTTACTAGGGAAATAAGCATGCACAGACCGAAATGCAAAATGTGACCCGGAATCTTTTGCTTAATACTTATATACTCACTTTGGAAGGAGAATCTTCTGCGATGGAAGCTCTACTTTGAACACGATATGCTCTTGTGGTCATTGCTAAAACTTGCATTGCACTAATAGCAGCCAGTCTATTATCTTGTTGCAAATATAACTGAGCTACCTGCCTCGAGAAAAAAGCAGCTTTTCGCTGATAACCAAGAGTTCCGTATAACCGAGCTATTTCAACATATAATACGAGTCTATCACTGGCATCAATAAGAGACTTAGCACCATCTGCTGCACTTGTTAGGTATCCCACTACCTCCTTAGCCAGCTCTCGTCTACCAAAATAAACCAAAAATAAATCCGTAAGATGAAATAGTGTAAATAATAACTCTCTTCATATTAGTATTTCTGATCTAATTGAACTTTTTTAGAGACAGAACATTATCCAGTGAGATAGAGAGATACAATCATACAAGTAGTACATGCTGCCTTTATCAAATCATATAATGCTCATGAACAA